CGAAGGACCTCGGGGTCGGACCGCATAAACAACCTCAAACGGGGAGAAGCCCGTGGCGCGACTGACAGCTGAATTATGAGCAAATTCAGCCTGACTGAGCTTCTGGTCCCAACTGCGAAGGTGATCACCCATTAAACAACGAAGCAGGTTGCCCAAAGAACGATTCACCACCTCCGTCTGGCCGTCCGTCTGGGGATGATAAGCACTACTGATGTCCAAACGAGTATTGGCCATGCGCCAAAGGCTACGCCAAAAATGGCCGAGAAAGCGAGTGTCACGGTCCGACACAATAGAGGAAGAAAGGCCATGTAGGCGATAGATCTCGCGAAAGAATAGCAGGGCCACATGGACCGCATCCGTGGTGCGCTTGCACGGGATAAAGTGTACCATCTTCGAAAACCTGTCGACCACCACAAAGATGGAATCAAATCCCCGCTGGGTACGCGGCAGTCCCAACACAAAATCCATGCTAATGGCACTCCACGGCTGCGAGGGAATAGGAAGGGGACGATAGAGACCGGCATTCGAGGCAACACCCTTTGAGACGTGGCAGACGCGAAACCTCTCAACGAACCGACCGACGTCGCGCCGAAGAGAAGGCCAAAAATAAGACCGCCCTACAAGAAGGACCGAGCGGTCACGGCCAACATGCCCAGCGCCATGCAACTCCCCAATGATCTTCAACCGCAGACTACAATCAGGAATGCAAAGTCGGGCGCCCCGAAACAGAAATCCATCAGTCATGGAGAAATCCTCAACGGGCCCGAGCGATAGGCGACGCACAATCGGCCCAAAAAACGGGTCATCAGCATACAAGTCCCGCAGAACATCAAACCCCACCACGGAGACCCTCATGTCCGTCAATAATAAGGTACGCCTGCTCAAGGCGTCCGCCACCCTGTTCGAAACCCCCGAACGATGCCGAAGGACGAACGTAAATTGCTGCAAAAAGGCGGTCCACGAGGCATGGCAAGCCGAAATATTATCCTGGGTCGCAAGATGACGCAAAGCCTCATGGTCAGTGTACAAGATGAACTCCCGATGAAAGAGGTAATGGCGCCAATGGCGCACAGCCCGGACGACTGCATAGAATTCCACGTCATACGTACTGTAACGGGATCGTGGTCCCGAAAGCTTTTCGCTAAAGAACGACACTGGCTTACCGTCTTGCCCAAGAACCGCCCCAATTCCCACCTTCGAAGCATCACAAGAAAGCTCAAACGGTTTCGAAAAATCTGGCAAGACGAGCACCGGAGCCGAAGTCAACTTGCTCTTGATGAGAGCGAAAGCCTCCTCGGCTGCTGGGGTCCACACAAATGATTTCCCGGTCAAGCAATCGGTAATGGGGGCCGTAATCGTGCTAAAATGTGAAATGAAGCGCCGGTAAAAGGACGCGAGGCCATGAAAACTCCGTGCCTCTGTGAAAGTCGTCGGAGATGGCCAGTCACGAATGGCGGCCACCTTACCCTCATCCACTCGAATGCCCTCAGCCGAGATGACAAACCCCAAAAACAACACCGAATCGACCAAAAAAAAAACATTTACGAGGAGCAGCAAAAAAGGACTCAGCACGTAGAATAAAAAGGACCTCACGGACATGCTGTAGGTGCTCATCCATCGTCCGGCTATAAATAAGAATATCGTCGAAATAAACGACGACACTCTTGCCGATAAAGTCACGTAAGGCCTGGTTCATCACCCTCATAAATGTACTCAGGGCATTGGACAACCCGAAAGGCATCACCATCCACTCAAAGAGCCCCTCGCGAATCTTGAATGCCGTCTTCCACTCGTCCCCCTGCCTGATCCTAATCTGATGATACCCGCTCCGAAGATCCAGCTTCGTGAAAATAGTGGCACCATGTAGCTGATCCAAGAGGTCATCCAACCGAGGTATGGGAAAACGGTACCGAACAGTGATCTTGTTGATGGCGCGACTGTCAACACACATACGCCACGAACTGTCTTTCTTCGGTATCAAAAGTGCTGGCACAGCACACGGACTCAAGCTGCGCCGTACAACCCCACGCTGAAGGAGTTCCTCCACCTGACGACGCAACTCCTCATGTTCGGACGGGCTCGTCCGGTAGTGAGGTCTATTCGGCAAGGACGCTCCAGGCACCAAGTCGATGTGATGCTGAATGTCTCGAAGTGGCGGCAAGCCCGAAGGAATGTCCTCGGGAAACACATCTGCAAACTCCGACAAAAGCGGTCGGATCGCCGAAGGGAGGGGCCGCTCCCCACTCTGGTCCACCCCAACCAGTAAGAAACACCATGGGGACGCCCGGAGCTCAGTAAGAAAAGCCGCACTTGAAAGAAAAAGCACTGGTGACGTGGGGCTTGAAGTCGGCAAGGGGCGGGGTGCATTAGGCACAAGAATAATCTTGACACCTCCAAATACAAAAGAATATGTGTTGAGCCGGCCGTCATGAGTAGCTGCCCTGTCATACTGCCATGGACGGCCCAACAACAAATGACACGCGTCCATCGGGACCACATCACACCATAACTGATCACGATACTTGCTGCCAATGGAAAAAGAGACAAGTGAACGACGATCAACCGTAACGACGTACCTTTCTGTATCCATGCTAGAGTATACGGTTGAGGATGAGGCTCGGTAGAGAGCTGCAACTTGTCGACTGCCTCCTGAGATATAACATTCTCGCAAGAGCCCGAGTCAATGATGAAGCGGCAGACCTTTGACCCGACCGTGCAAGTAGATTCGAAAAGGTGATGTCTCTCCACCGCTGTGTCACCCGCTCCTCTCGGCACCAAAAAAGTACGACGAATGACAAGGGCCACGCCCACATCACCAGTCACGTACTCCTCTACCTCGTCCGGCTCAACGTCGTACACCGGAGGTCCCACATACTCTCCAGTGGAATCAAATTCCCCTACATCGTCTGTAAACAACGCCCTCGTGGCCGGACCCTTCGGACACACCGCGTGCCGGTGGCCAACCTCTCCACAACCAAAACAACGGAGCCCCGCCACAGCACGTGAAGCCACCGTGGAAAGCTGATGTCCGCCACCTCCCGCAGACCGCTGGTAGGGTCCGCTCGTCCCCGCAACACGCGCTGTCACAGCTCCCGGGCCCGTGCCGCCACCTGTCGCGACCAAGGGCCGTGGCTGGAAATTTGCCGCGCCTGAACTTCCCCCCTACCGCGCGGCCGACCCAAACGCGGGACCCGATTTCTGGGCCAAATTCATCTTGACAAGAATGGCCCGCTGGTGAGCATCGGACACGGATTCCAGACGAAAAAGATTCAACGTGTCCCGTACAGAAGGACGCAAACCACCGACATAACGGGACACCAACTGGTTCTTAGTCTCGCGCAACTCAACACGGGTCAGGAGACGATAGAATTCCGACGTGTATTCATCCAACGAACGAGAGCCCTGTTTCAAGTTTTGTAATTGTTGATAAATCAGACTATCGTAATTATACGGCACGAACTCACGCTCCACATACTTCCGAAACTTCATCCAAGAGGATAATTCCAGCTTCCCTTGACGATGCCGCAAGCTTGTTAATTGCATCCACCACGTTGCTGCTCGGCCACAAAAGCGGGTGGCGACCAGAGCAACACGTCTATCCTCGGGCACTCCCTTGAATCGAAGGGCGGCCTCAACCGCAGCCCACCAGTCAAAGAAATCAGACCAATCCACGCCGCCATTAAATTCCGGGATGTCCACCCGAAACCCCGCCTCCCAACGTGACTCATCGCCCCCTTCTATCGGACGCCTGCCGTCACGTCGGTATTGACCAACTCTCTCGAACCCGTCACCCTCCACGTACTCAGGTCGGCCGAAAGCCACCACCACGACCATCCCAATCCCGGTGGAATTCACCATCATCCTCGAAGTCTGACTCAGTACCCCCACGCGAAGCAGCGCGTCTCCTGTGCTCGGTTCCCCCGCCGCGGAAGTCACCAAACCTGCCGTCAACCTCATCGCCACTACCGTCATCGTCGAAATCGTCCCGGCGAAAAACCCTAGTCTCACGCCGCCTGTCATCGCCGCGGGCAAACCCTGGTTGCAGACGACGTCCGCCACGTCCACGATGACCAGCAAAGTCCTCCATGTCTGGGCCGCGCCGATTCGCCGTCGCAAACGGATTCTCGAGGGTCACCGTGACATCGTCGTCCTCATCGCCGGACAGAGGCGGTGGTGAACGCCGGTGGGGCGTCCCACCGAAGCCGCGTCCTCCCCGACCTCCGCGAAACCCACCGCGAACGGCCCGGTCACCGGCGTCGCGCCTCGCACAATTCTCTTCCAACATGGTGTTCATCGCCTTGCGAATCTCCTCGATTCCCAACGAAAGGTCCGTGAATCGGTCGTCCACTCCCTGGAATCGCTCTTCCATTCGTTGGAAACGATCGTCAACGGTGTTATCTCTCTTGGGCGGCATCGTGGATCGTCGCTGGTCTCTGGATACCAACTGATGTAGAGCGTAGTACGAATTGGGAAGAATATGAGATACTCTCTCGTGAATTCGAACGATCAGTTTTTTCAATTCAACAAAATCTGCCCTCTTTTTCGTTCAATACAACATAAATAATAAAGGAGAGACTTAGACTTGCCAAAACACTTGCAAGCTAATTATTGTCCTACCATAATTATTAAAATCACTAAATGGAATAACTAGAAAAGCAATAATAATAATAGATAATAAAATAGATTAAACCCGGAGCCGGTCGTATTTATTCAAAAATGCAATGGCGGTCTCGTCTTCATCACTAAGACTACTTAGCCTTCGCATTTGTACATTCTGTTTTTGAGTAATATATCCTATCGTTTCGGAAAAAAAATAAAATAAAATAAAAAATTATATAACTCTTGTAGCACTAGTTTACAAATGTTAGAGAATAGAGATATAGAGATATTTCCCAAATTTGAACAAAAAGAAAGGCAATTTTCCCTCCACAAGAGGTGAAGTGAAACAGGGGAGACTGTAAAACCCTAATCCCAAACGGACGAAGAATCCATCAGAATCCATGGATTCAAAGGACGACCCGAACGCCGGAGCCCACCGCCACAACACGGCGACCGATAATTCCGACACCATCGCCGTGCAGAAGAAGCGGGCGCGCAGAGTGAGCTTCGCCGAGACCACGTCGGTCCGTCTCTTTAACCGCGACGACGAGGAGGATGTGAGTCCTATGGTTGAAACTGCCCGAGTTAGGGACGGTTCACCCGGAGAATCCAGATTCGGGCGGCTGTCGGAGCCTTACATGGTGTTTGGCGGCGAGGACGGCGACAATGACAACGACGAAGATGAATATATGCGCCGGTCGTTTTTGCGCCCGGATGGATCCCCTTCTCCTGGTGGGAGCACGTTTGGGTCTGCTTCGTCGAATGACGGCAAGTTTCTTTGCTTTGAGTTTGTGGTTTATCTGTGTTTTACTGTTCCTTGTGTGTATGTGCTCACATTTGTCACTCTGAAGTGATGACACTAGCTCTGGAAGCGTGAAGACCTAAATTATGACTTGGGTACCTTAGCTACTGCTTTCCTTCATGTTTCTCTTATGGATTCAGTATGATATAAATCTGTGAACATACGAGACATTAGTATTACCTAGTTGCCACTTCCTAGTTCTTGAATGTATAAGTCAATGAGCATCTGTAAGGAAGGCACTACTCTTCTTTTGCCTGCCGCTTGGGTTATGGGACTTGCTAGCAAGAAAAGGAATATGGAAATCCCTCCTCTCTTTCCTCAAATTCCAGTTCCTTTTCATTTTTAGTACTGAGTTTCCATAGGCCCTTGACGATCTGACAGTGAAAATATGATGAAATGTGATCCCGAAAATTCTTTTTGGCATTATTGTAAACTAATATTAGCTCTTATGTTATTGTTTATTCACTATCTAAATTAGAATTGGTATAGTACTGTTCTTATATATTGTAATTTACCGTTACATTTATCTTAATTAGGAGTAATTGTTGGTGTGGTTTTGGAGATTGCAATTTTTTATTCTGGACTCTGGATACGTTTAATGTGTTTCCCAGTATTAAGTTGATTCTCCTGGAAATGTTAACACCTAACATTTTTCTCTGATTTTTCATCAAGCAGAAGATGATTTATTTGGTCCCGTATCAGCCAATTTTATAAGGCCTGGGCGGTTGTATGACTCTGAAGCTTCGGATGATAACCATGATGTTACAATGGACTCAACAGCTTTCTCTATGCATTTTCAGAGTCTTGTTAGATCAGAATCGGGGATAGACCTAAAGACACCGACTGGGAGTCAACTATATTTTGAAGAGAAAACACCGAAGAATGAAAATACAGGAAGCTCCATGACCTTTGCTTTGGGTAAAAAGGCACTCCTTGAATCTTCTCGGGCTGTCACAGAAGTCAGTGGCAGTCACAACTCCAATGATATGAGTCTTGTTGGGGACAACCCCAGAAAGTATGACTACGAGAAATTATCACCAGGATTGGATGCTCTTCTGGCTGAGAGCCGGAAAGACTTGCTTCATGGTAGTGTATCTGACGATATCGTTACTTCACCGTCACCTAAACCCAAGGAAGCTGAGGTTTTGCCTTCAATTGATCATGGTGATAGTCTTATCAATCCAAGCTGTATTGATCTTCCTGATGATGAAACTGCTGCTTGCATTGAGGCTGGTGAGACTAATGGGCATGCTGAAATTTCTGTACGTGCCAGCTCTCCTGTAAAAAATTCACGCAATGCTGCAGCATGCAACAGAGATAATGATGAGGGAATCAAGTCGCCGTATCTGTTGAGTAAAGTAAGATTTCGTACCTAAAGCGATATGTATCTGTAAATATCTTCAATTATGCGCCTTAGCTATGTAATCTAGTATCGAAGAAAAAGTTCTGGTCAGTTAATTGGATTTGCATTTGAAGTTACCTTTGAGAAACAGTTCTGCAGTCATTGAATGTGGTTGCTTATTTGGGATATGTTATTTTGATAAACTTGTCAAAAGTTTAACTCCATGACTCCAGCCTGACAGTTTAGTTGCTGTCAAGTCTTGTGAGCTTGAACTGATATATAGCGATTTAATTAATGTGCATTTCAGGGAAACAAAGGTACAAGATACTCAACATCCATTCAAAATTTATTTATATATCCCAAGCCATTTAATTTAGGTGTTTCAAATTCAAATATTGCAGCTCCCCATTAATTTTAGGTCAGTTGTCTTGTGTATAGTAACAATGACCTTTTTAGAACTCATCTTATCAAGCAAATGAATTGATCGCAAAATTGCTTATACGTGTTATGTTTTATGATGTATTTGTGTGCGGTGCAATATACAATAATGGGTGGTTTTAATATACTGAATTTAACATTATTATCTATTTTAAAGTTTAGCTACTCTGGCTATTTTGTGACTTTAATCTCACATACTTGTACTGATTGGACAGAATGGATCAGAAACCCCATTGGCATCTGAATATTCTCCCATCAATCAACAAAATGCTCTGACTACAGTGTCTTCAGTTAAACAGAGGGAACTGGCATCTCCCTTGACGAAACCTGGTTCCATGCCTAGAAATGGAAGTTTAGAACATCAAAATACCCAGACATCTATCCAGAAAAGCATTTCCAATCTGGAATTGCTTGAGAGATCTGCATTATCTTCTGCATTCAGTGCAAAAGTTGACAATTCCTTTGTTAAGACGCTGGATTTTTTCAAATCCCCAACTTTTGACCCTCTTTTGGGAAACACACGTCATAATTCCAGAATCAATTTTGAAGATTCAATAAATGAAGATAAACTTGACAGTGTTCATCAGAGTAACAAGAGTAGTTATGCTCGCAGCAGGGATCGTGCTAGGGCTGAGACTCGGGATCACATCAGTGATGAAAATCATGTTGATAAACATCTTGGTCAAATAGTGGGTGGAAAATCGCCTAAAGAGTTGAGGACCGAGGATGTTTCTAAAGATCAAATAAAATTTGGGAGAACTGTTTCTTCACCATCTAAGATAACTTGGTCCGGAGGAAACTTGGGTTGTAGTTTGTTTACAACCGAATGTTCTAAAGAGGATGCCGTAATGACTGAAACTGAGTCCTTATTGGCTGTGATCGCTTCAGGTGATGGTGGAAAAGGATTTGTTACTTCTGAATTTGTTGCTTCTCCAGTCAGAAGGCTGGGGAACAAATTGTCAGCTTCACTAATTCCTTCATCCACACAAACTAAAGATTTATTTCTACAAAACCATCTCAAACAAATGCGAGACTTCCATAAAAAAGATTTAAGCCCAGGGAGAAATTTTGCGAATGCGAAACTCTCGACTGGAGTTGATAATCTGGATTTTGATGTTGATGGGAAAAAAAACTTGATTGAAAAACAAGCAACTGATGTTGAAGTTGACCTGTATAACGGGAAGGAAATATTTGGAACCACCGATTACTTTTGTTCTCCTGCTAAGGAAAAAAGATTGTATATATTGAATCCTGAAGATCAGTATGCAAATAACCTGGCTAGGAAGGGCATATCCAGGAATGAGGATAACCTACCTGAAAGTTCCAGAGCGGGTTCCAATGAGCCTGTTTCTTCATCTGCCCGTGGAGATCTAAATGAGTCGAGATTTCTGAAGGTCGGTTACTTTCTTTTCTCTCTAGACCTTTTTTCCCTTGAAATAGTTTCACTTTTTGTGGCTTCTAATTTTTGTTTTGTCTCCAGAATAATCATTGTACTTGCAATGTATCAAAATTTTCTCTTATGAAGGGCTCTGTTAGGTTTTAATTATCATCAACTTCAGTGATCTTCAGTAGTATTTCCAGAGAAACCTGTCAATTCCCTGTTTATATGTCTCATATATTCTGATGATGGACTCTAAGGTGAGTTTTATGTGTGGTTTTCTTTTGTACTAACTACCAAATATTCAAAATCAGCTGGACTTCTGTACAGCCACTACCTCAACAAAGGAGCTTGATGCTGAACAGCTCTCTGGAACACCCTCCCCAAAAACCACCAAATTGAGTGGTAGACCAGGAGAGTTAGAGGCAGGCAAGAGAAATTTGGAATTATTGCTGAGGGACACTAGACACCGAGATGAAATGACCTCAATGCAGAGGAGTCCCAAAGTTCAGAAAGTAGGAAAATCATATTCAGAGAAAACATTTAATCTGGATGAAGATAGAACAACATTAACTATCCATGAAAGGAAGAAGTGGAATGATGTGAGTTTAATTTAGGTTCCGCTTATACTTTACTGTTCTTGTAAGCCGAACAATTTTTCCTCACCAAGTATCAATCTGATATTGCAGATATATTCTAAATTCTCAGAGGATCTGAAGTATTTATTATCTGGATCATTTGATAATCTTAACCGTGAGATGGTATCTTCCTATAACATTAGGCATTTAATTATAATTTTTGTAGAACAAAAGGAAGCCTCATTTTAGGCTTCCTTCCAGTAAGAGATGTCGTAATAACTTTGAATTAAGATAACTTTCTTGAGTATGTTTTTTAGAGATTTTTATTTTTCTCTTGGCTATAAGAGAGTGCATTTAATTTTTCAGATTGATGCGCTTGAAGATGCCTTGGTGTACCATCAGCGGTCAAAAGTATATGAGATGCTTCACGATGGTGTTTTCCCACAGGTCTGCTTGCACTTTATGATACTTGAAATATACAAGTAAAGAACAGATGTTTTTTTTTTTTTTTTTCACTTAACATTGCTTGCTGCATCGCCCTGAGTTTATTTATGTTCCTTTTTCCAGAGTTCAACAGTGCATCATGATTTGCAGCTTGAGAAGTAAGTTCTTTCTCTATCTGAATGGGGATGGAACAGATATTTGCAGCTTTTTCATTTTTCTGATTACATGGTTTAATGTAGCTTACTAAGAAGTTTTGATTGATTTGCCTGCTGCAGAATGGCTGAAACAAATTTACTCGTGCATCGTGTTGTGTTTGAAAAGGCAAAGTTGCAGCTGAACCATGTTAAGAAGGAGAGATTGTTGGTACTGTTTGTTTTCATCTTGGTCTATACATGGCTTTGAATGCTTGACAAATACGGACATTCGTATGCAGAAAAGGTTACAGCTATTGCGCTCTAGGCTTCAGGAGTCGCAAAAATTGGGGGAAAATATTGCTTCACAGCCATTGCAGACATGCACAAGTGCTGTAGTTGATGCTGTTGGTGAACAAACACTGTCTGTCAATTTGAAGAAGGAACATGAGGTATTAAATCAAGTTTAAAATCTTCTCTCCCTCTCTCTCTCTGGCATTTTTGCATTTGGATTTTGGCATAAAATGATTTATTCATTATTATTATTATTATTATTATTATTATTATTATTATTATTATTATTATTATTGTTGTTGTTGTTGTTGTTGTTGTTGTTGTTGTTGTTGTTGTTGTTATTATTATTAGTAGTATTATATATATATTATTTTCTGAGTGTATTATGTCAAGATACATGTAATTTTTAGAAGTAATTTTTAGAAGCTAGGCCTCAATTTACACATCACTTACGCGATCCCAGATTTGCCAAGAAAAGTTGACTGCAATGAGACAGACCTTGGACACATTGGATAAAAAAATTTCAAACTTGACGAAAACATTTCAAACACGCTGCAAGATAAAAGATGAACCAAGCAGTGCTGACACAATTGCCTTAGTTAATAAACGCATGACAGAGAAGGCGTCTTGCAAGCTCATCCGTCTAGAAATGCAGGTGAGTACTTTTGCACCTTGAACTTCCACCAATAGAGGGTCTAGACCAAGTTAACTTTTGTTTATCTTGGCATATTGCTTCATTGTTTCTTCATGAAGTGGAATCAATGATGTCATTTGTTATGGAGACTGACTGTCTATACTAGCCTGGAGTGGATAACCTTTTTGCAACAAGTTGATTATTTGTATTGAAAGCTAGCCAGCAGGTTGCTGACAACCCAACGTTCTTAGAGACAGAGAACTGTGTGTATTCTCAGATCTCTTATTTTGGTATTATATATTGTTTTCCCATTCTCCAGATGTATGTAGTACAAAGTGTGAGCAGTGTCAATGGTCAGCACAATGTTGTTCTCAACTACCTTGACTTCGTTACCCAGAGGTTTATTTCTTTAGCTCATGATGTTCAAAATGAAATTCTGCTTCCTCTCACCTTCTCAATGTGTGGATCTTGTGTTTGAATTCGCAGCATAAAAATCCTTGTTGGTCCGGCATCAAGTGTCTCAATTTCATTTATATTGAATGAGACCAACATCATTAAGGTGATCTTGGTTCAATCATATTTGGTTTGCTTTCATGTCTTTATGTTCTCACTTCTAATGACTGTATTTAATGTGAAAACTGTTTTTTCTTCACAGAATTTCCCAAATATGGATGCTTGCGTAGCATTTGCATATGTGTTTAATACAGAGACTACTCGCAAGTACATTGGCTCTAAAACTTTGCCACAGGAAACCCAAGTAAGTTAAAGTTGTACATCTTCATAAAGGAGATGAGGATGCCAAGTGCTTTTGTTGTTCTTTTCCGTTTTCTAGAAATTTAGTGGCTACTTTGCGTCTGTCTGAATCAAATAAAACTGTTTCTTTTGTGTATAGGACTTTTTTTTTATCACATTACTAAGATGAAGGCAAAACAGTTGAGCAGAAAGAAAGAATCCAATGCCAACTGCAATAGTTACATGGGCTTAAGGATGATGTAAATAATAATCGAAACTTGAAAAACAGTGTTGTCTTGTTACTCATGTTTAAGCATATGGAACTTACTTCATACGTACTATATTTTTATTATTTTGTTTGTTGAGAATCAAAATCAATGAAAATCGATTTGTTGACATAGCAAAATAGTTTGATTTTTATCAGAGTTGAAATGAAATAAATCTTTCAATATTTTGTCTGAATCAATAGTTTGATTTTTATCAAAGTTGACATTAGATGTTCAAATCACGTAATGTTGTTTGTTTGTTTGTTCTTTTTTTTTTGTTCTGTTTTGTTTTGTTTTGTTTCTATTCCCATTACCATGTGGAAAATTGTATCTCACTGATTCATTGGGTTTATTAGGAGCTGGATTGTTTATTGTTAATTTATAAATACTGTTGCCAATTTGCAGGTAACTAGTTCACTTCTGGGTAACCTGCTTGATTTGGTTGATGAGGTACAATCAGCACAGATGCTGCTTCCAGATCTGACTCAATCTAGTTTTTGTTCACCGTCTGGTAAAATATACGGAACACATGCATGTTCTCCACACAATATGTTTTGTATGAAATTATGTGGAGCTTAATCACAGTGCCATATGCTACTGACATGTTAAGCTATTCCCTCCGAATACATTTCTCGATATGTGATGCCAAATTTCTGGTGGCTGTAATTCACTTAATGATATTAATCAAAATTCCTGAAAAATATTAACGCAAATATTTTCTCAATACGTGAGTTTCCATTGCAGCTGAGCAGCTTCATCTCGTGCTGTGTTTCTTTAATTTCACTTCTGGGCGGAAGGTGAATCTCACTCTTGATATATCTTGCTTGAAACGGTTTGTTCCATTCCCCTATTATTATGATTAAGCGCAATCACCATTTGAATCAATATGTGTAATAAAATACAAAATTGGTATTTATATGGTTTTTTTTTTTTTTCATGCAGCGGAATTTATCCTTCTGAGATTGTCCCACTTCAATTGGTCTCGCCTGGAGACCGTGAAGTAGTTTTGTCCACTTCAACTCAGCCAATCCTTGATGACATTAAGGAGGCAGTTAAGGATGTTAAGACCGGTTACAAGAGAGTTTTACGTCTGTGCAAGTGTGTTTCCCAGGTGGTTCGAGCTTCAACTCTGTAAAAACAGAGCTCACACTAACATATGGTAAAAACACAGTGCATTGGCTGCTTGAATTATGTGAGTATTATTTTTTGGTTAAATTGAATGTGTGCGGCAAGGAACGACTGCAAATGTATTTGGTTTTGAATGTATTTGGGCTAATGCTTATCGGGTTTTCGGGCTTTTTTTTTTTTTTTGGTGGAAAAAAATGTCAGTGAAAACCATGAGAATCGAGTGAGATCTTGAATTCACGTGTTGTGTTGTGTTTATATTTGGTGGAAAAGTTGTTTGTCCTTAATAGGTTTATGTGATTGTCGTGTTGTGTTTAATTCTGTTTCTAGTCTTGAACTACTGTGTTACTTGTGCATTTCAAGCATAGTTATTAAATAAATTTACGAATTTGAAGCTCTATAAGATAAGAAGTTTATTTATTATTACTATACTAATTATTATTAAAACATAGAGTTTTAGGCGTACAACAGACTCAATTGAGAACTGCTTTTGAACTAAGTAAAAGAGTTTGTTGAAACTTGAGATTTGATATGATTACGTTAATTTCACAAAATCTTTGATCCTTGTTTGACCTTTTGGTTGAATCAAGTGATGTAATCGAACACATGTCATCATTTTGTTTTTGAAGTGCAAAACTAAAACTCATCACAAATTCCCTGTATCAATTATTATATATGGAGATGATCATATTTAAATATTAAGATTGTTTTTTTTTTTTTCTCCGCCATAATGTATTTAACTCATACTCACGTGTACGATTATACAAAGTTCATATCTTTCCTATGTAATACACATGCTTATTGACTGTTGTTACCTTTAAACTGAATAACTTTGTGTGTTTTTTCTACCATTAATATGTTTTTTTTTTTTTCTCTCGTCTCTCTATTCCACTTTCATCTAAATGTTACAATCCTTACTATTCAACTTTTAATATAATTTCTAATCTTCTTACATAATTTTAGTCATTTGATGTTACAATCCTTACTATTTTACAATCCTTACTATTCAAGTTTTAATATAATTTTACAATCCTTACTATTCAAGTTTTAATATAATTTTAGTCATTTGATGTTACTATTTTACAATCCTTACATAATTTTAATATAATTTCTAATCTTCTATGAATGTTACAATCCTTACTATTCAAGTTTTAGTTTAATTTCTTGTTTTAGTTTATTTTTTGTAGAAATCACATTGTCCAAAAAAATTGTTGCAATCTTTTAATGCAATATTCTCCATGTGGCGAAATAAAAACGAGAATAAGTAACCAATTGGCACCTTAATTTATTTTGCATTAATAAACTAATTATATTTTTACTTATTATTACTTATCACTAGTATTCATCATATGCACATGCACAGATGTACATAAAATATTATAAGTAATATGCGTGAATTTAATATTAAAATTATAGATAATAAACATATCACATTTTCAAGATATGCGAATTTAATATTAAAATCTATCTATATATATATTAAAAGCAAACCTATTTACCAAAAACAGTAGCAAGAAAAGTCAACACACATTTAATGCATACTTTATTTGGAAATTTTTACTATATGCATTAAATGCTTGCATATTTATATTTACTATCCAAATATGATTTTCAAGTTTTTTTCCTTAAATAATTTATGCAATGATTTTACTGATATCTATTATAATTAATATTTGTCGAGTAATATTTTTTAACCTTTATTTAATTATATAACACTAATATTTTTTTAAAAAATTAATATTATTTATTATTTAAAAGATAATGATCACATCATTAAATGATTTTATTGATGGTTAGATAATAAAATTATAGTTATTCTTTAAAATTTCGACATGTGATTTATTTGTATATTATTGTCAACTATGATAGTGTTTTTATCACTTTTTTTTTTGTTATCTTTCAAAAATGAAGTTATTGTAAAATATTTTTCTATTGCATAGTATGTTAAATAAACTATAAAGTCTTAGGATGAAAATTAGAAAAAATCTCTTGATTATGTAAGGGATTTATTTTTTGACAATTGCTAAATCATTTTTTTTTTTTAAAAAAAAGAATTATTATGAGAAAATTAAATTCTAAAAAACATGTGTGTGTATTTTGTAAACATTTATACTCAAAATTTTATTTTGAATTTCATTATATAAAGAAGACTACTTCTATAACTTTTATAAATAATAATAATTACATTATATGACTGTAAATTTTATAATAAAATAATAAGTGAGTATTATATGGTGAACAATAATTAATAAAAATTTTATCTTTTCCTATATCAATGAATAAGTATGTATTCTAAAATCAAATATATGACGTGTTAGCGGAACTATATATTAATTAACATGTTAATTTTTTGGCTTAAATAAACGCCACTTATTAAAAGATGTGAAATAAGGATGATCCAAGCCTATTGTTTTTTTTTTTTTTTTTTT